TAACGCCCACTGAATGACATTTGACATATTTAGACATTGTAAGGCTTAAAAATGGTATTCTGGAAGGGACATTTGATTGTTATTATTAATCATATAAGAGGTGTTTGAAGCTTTTTATTACGTCTTACTCTGATGTAGAAATGGAAATGAATGGAAATGATAGAAGATGCCATGTGTCTTGCTGATTGCCATCTGCTTTGTTTCAGTAAGCTCCCCCACCCAACATGCAGGACAGAACAAACTTTGATCTGGAATTCCTTGAGTATCTTTCTGCTGCCATCTGGTTGCAATGTTTCTTCTGCTTGCTTGATCTTTTTTTATCTGTAGTTTTCTCTCTCTCTCTGCCTCCCAGTCTTAGAAGAAAAAACTGTAGGAAAGAAGGCTACTGGTTGACTTGCTGACGGTGAACGTCTTGTAAACCAGCTTTTTCTTTATTAATTTCAACGTTCATGGAGGAAGTTGTCACTCTCTATTAGTTGTGGAGTAAGTAGCATCCTCAAGGTGACCCTCTGGCATAATCCTGTTTCGCTTTCATGGGCATTGTGCTGCTATGGTTTTTTCTGAAGACCTTACAAGACTGAAGCATGTTTAGCGATTATACATTTGCTCAGTTCAGCATAGTGGATTGTGCCACTTAAGGCTGCAAGAGGGAGATAGTAAATGGAAATACGTCTCTTTGACTAGATAGTTTTACAAGTGCAAGGAGGTGTTTTTTCATTTTTTCATTTCATTTTGTTTTTAAGTGGGCTTTTAAAGCATGCTTGTGTAGTGTGCAGCTTTGTAAGCATGCACCTGGCACTTCATGGGAGTTGGAGAAGTAGATTGTGGGGGGTGGGGAGAGGTGGATCAACAGAAAAATGGTGAGGGGAAGGGTTAAGTTCCTCTGAACACCCTTAACCCTCACCTTACCAAACCTTGTTGGCAATTTGTTCCAGTAATGTTTAGTGTGTAGTTTGTCTCTGACAGCGCTTGTGAATGATGCAACATCCTTTGGATGATGGACTGAGGAAGGGGTGAGACACATGGAGCTCTTAAACTTGAACAGCTATGAGTGGCAGGAAAGCTGTTCTGACTTTCAGTAGCTGGAAGGCATGTCTTGCCTAGGAAAGTGATTCGAGTGCCTTGCTAATGGGCTGTTTTTTTTTGCTTCAGGAACTTCTATTCATCTCACTGACATCTTTACCCTTTAAAAGCCACCGATAACAGAGAATTTAATGCTTAATTTCATTCAGCTTGTGCTCTTATAAGATACTGTGGGTCAGGCAGTTAAGATATTTCAGATGTCTGGTTTGCAATACAAGGATGCCAGAAGGAGAGTACACGTCTGTCTTTTTCTTTTAATAAAGCAAACTTGGAATGAAGCACTGTGCACACCTCCTTGAACTAAATAAGACTTCAGAGGAAATATGCATTAGATGAGGCTGCAAGTTTCTGAATGTTACTTCTATAGAGTGAATGAAATAAAAGTCACGGGGGGGGGGTACCTATCTAACATATTGAGAACATGAACTTCCAACTTGAAACACCAAAATGTCTCAAGAGGGACAGCCTCTCATGAATCCTTGCTCCCTTGTTCTTTTTGCAAAGTTAATCTTTTCACTGGCAGATGCTGGTGGGACTAGATATGGTAAGAACACAAGAAGAGCCCTGCTGGATCAGGCCAAAGTCCAGCATCCAGTTCCCAACAGATGCCAGCCAGATGCCCATGGGAAGCCTTCACTCTCCCCACCTACAATTAGCAGCTAGACCTCCTACAGTGAAGGTAGAACATAGACATTGTGGGTAGTAGCCATTGATAGACTCACTCACCTATGAATTTGTCTCATTGTATTTTAAAGCAACCCAAGTTGTTGGTCTCCACTGCATCTTGTGGAAGATAAATCCATAGTTTAAATATGCCCAAAGTCTCATGGCCTGTATGTTGACATTGCTAAATAACCTTTCTCTAGCTTACATATTGATGGGAGTTGTGGAGATGGCATAGTCCAACTTGAATGTGGTCTGAGTTTGGATGAATTAGTTTGGGCCCTATATTTTTTAAAGGTCCACCTTACACTTTGAATCGGGCGCATTCTGAATTGCCCATTATTAATAGAAGTGCAAGCTGGATTTCGAAGGGGCAGAGGAACCAGAGACCAAATTGCAAACATGCGCTGGATTATGGAGAGAGCTTGGAGAGTTCCAGAAAAACATCTACTTCTGCTCCATTGACTATGCAAAAGCCTTTGACTTTGTCGACTACAGCAAACTATGGCAAGTTCTTAAAGAAATGGGAGTGCCTGATCACCTCATCTGTCTCCCGAGAAATCTCTATGTGGGACAAGAAGCTGCAGTTAGAACTGGATATGGAACAACTGATTGGTTCAAAATTGGGAATGGAGTACGACAAGGCTTCCGCGCATATACAGATGCTCAAAATGATGTCACACGCATGCGCAGAAGCAGCGAAATGCGACCCGCTCACATGCACAGTCACATGTTACGTTTACTTCAGGATGCGAACGGGGCTCCAGAACGGATCCTGTTCGTATCCGGAGGTACCACTGTAATTGCAGTGATTAATATAAATAATATACCTGAAGGAGTGTCTCCACCCCCATCATTCAGCCCAGATACTGAGGTCCGGCTCTGAGGGCCTTCTGGCGGTTCCCTCACTGCGAGAAGCGAGGTTACAGGGAACCAGGCAGAAGGCCTTCTTGGTAGTGGCGCTCACCCTATGGAATACCCTCCCACCAGATGTTAAGGAAATAAAAGACATCTGAAGGCAGCCCTGTTTAGGGACGTTTTTAATGTTTGATGTTTTATTGTATTTTTAATATTTTGTTGGAAGCCACTCAGAGCGGCTGGGGAAACCCAACCAGATGGGTGGGGTATAAGTAATAATAATAATAATAATAATAATAATAATAATAATCAAAACTCTGCCTTTTTCTGCCCTTCATGCAGAAACTGCTTTAGTTGCCCTGATGATCTCTGTTGGGAGAGAGGGAGAGAGAGAGAGAGACGGTGGAAATGTGTCCATCTTAATTCTTCCTAACCTCTCAGTGATTTTTGATATCGTTGACCATGGTATCCTTCTGGAGTGGCTGTTAGAGTTAGTGGTGGGTGGCACTGTTTTACAGTGCTTCTCGTCCTACTTGGATAGTCATTTCCAGAGGATGATGTTTCATGAGTGAATGAAGGCTGTGGAGCCTTCATTGTGGGGTTCATCAGGGTTTGATTTTATCCCCTATGCTGTTTAACATCTACATGAAACTGCTGAATGTTAACAAATATATATTTTTAGGATATACATTTAGGACAAAAATATATTCAGCGTTACTTGTGAAAACACCCTCATGAAATGAATATGGTGAAAACATTAATTGTACTGAAGTGAAGAAAGTAAAAGGTATATCATTTTTAACACAGTTTCCGTGTAATATTGCTTGTAATCTGTGCCAGATTACACAATAAAGGCGTGAATGTTTGGGTGTGTTTTTTCTGCATGTTTTGGCTTTTCCTTTTAGCATAGAACTGAGGGGTAACTAACATGTAGCGCTAAACACCCTAAGTAAGGGATGAGGAACCTGTGGTCCAGATATTGTTGGACCACAACTATCACCCCAGTGATTGGTCATGCTGGCTGGTCTGATGGGAGCTGGAATCCAAAAGTATCTAGAGGCCATAGGTTCCCTATCCTGCTGTAATTTGTCTATAGTCAGTAAATTTAATTGTTTATAGCCAATGACCATCACAATACAGTATGAGCATAAATCACAAAACTATAAAATGAAAGACATTGCCTGCACCAGACCAGGACAAATATACAATATTCAAAATTCAGAAACATTCCTTCTAATCAGCATCCCAGGGGTTTGTCACTTGCACTATCCAGAAAGGTTGCCTTTATCTTTCTTACCACTAATGTAAATAGTGCCACCCTGTAGCTGATGCACTTATTGACATCTGCCATCAGCCATTTAATTTTCAGATTTTCAAATCATCTGGTTGACCTAAGGCAATCTGAAAAGGGGAGATTAATTTAATTCTGGGTGAATCATACAATGGGCAATATAAAATGTAATGTACAAGCTTCTCGATAGGTCCTGATCCACATATACAAAGGTGCTCTTTTAAGGATTTGTTAGTATATCCCCAACCAGATATTAATCTATAGATAATTTAGAATTGGGGAGCCCGAATAATAATAATAATAATAATAATAATAATAATAATAATTTTTTAAAAAATCATACCCCACGCTCCCCGGTCAGGGCTGGGCTCAGGGTGGCTAACACCAAATATGAAATACAATAAAATGTAATAGGAAAACAACAACAACAAACAACAAACAACAAACAGTTAATTAAAATACGGCTTAAAATGCAGCCTCATTTTAGTAAAGGTAAAGGGTCCCCTGACCATTAGATCCAGTCACGGACGACTCTGGGGTGCTCATCTCGCTTTATTGGCCGAGGGAGCCAGCGTACAGCTTCCGGGTCATGTGGCCAGCATGACTAAGCTGCTTCTGGTGAACCAGAGCAGTGCACGGAAACACTGTTTACCTTTCCGCTGGAGCGGTACCTATTTATCTACTTGCACTTTGACGTGCTTTCGAACTGCTAGGTTGGCAGGAGCAAGGACCGAGGAACGGGAGCTCACCCCGTTGCGGGGATTCGAACTGCCGACCTTCTGATCGGCAAGCTCAAAGCTCCGTGGTTTAGACCACAGCACCACTACATTTTACTACATTTTAGTAGTAGCCGATAAATCAAGACTATAAAGGGAGGAAACATCAGATATTCACCTGAGCTATCTATCCATGCTGGTCCTACATGGGCCAGCAAAGAAGCCAAGGGAAAATTTATATACCAAATCCCATATAAGGGGTCAGAGTGAGTCTGAGCTGAAGGCCAGGCGGAACAGCTCCATCTTGCAGGCCCTGCGGAAAGATGTCAAATCCTGCAGGGCCCTAGTCTCTTGTGACAGAGCGTTCCACCACGTTTTATTTAGCAAAATCTATATACTGCTTGATCTTTTTAATATATAAAAACGCTCTACATGGTTTACAAAAATAAATACCTCTTGGATGTTACTGCATTACTGTGGAGAAAGATGTAGATAGGGCCATTATAGAAAATCTATATGTGCCTAAGCTATTCAGATATTTCATCATAAAAGAAGAATGTGGCCTCTTTCTATAGGAAATCTAATGTGCTTTTCCTACAGAAAGAAACCACATATTTCTTTTATGATGAAATATTTGGACAGCCTCTGCAAATTAATGTGATCATACAGTGGTTGTCTAGAGAACAGTAATGAACTAAAGCAAAATTGGTCATTGTTTTCAAGTAACATTATTCTCAGTAATGAAGCATCTTAATTATGAAAATGTGGCAATATTGATGCTCCTTTAAGAAAAGTTTATAGTCTAAATAATAAATATGCAATTGAAATAGATGTAAAAGTTGGAATTGATTTTCAGTGATGCTGATGATAAACAGGATAGCACTGGGATTTGGGAGTTGGTGGGAGGCTGTGGAAGGGGCCAGGATTGCCAGAGATTCTCACAATCCACCTAAAAGCAAAACAGAAAATGCAGCATGTCATTCATAAAGAGGGATTATACTTTCCTCAAAGATTAGTTTTTAGGACTTATTTTGACTGACTGAGATTAAAGGTCAAAAGAGTCCTGCTGGATCAGGCCAAAGGTTTATCTGACCAGTTTCCTGCTTCTGTTTGGTGAACTGGGAAATTGCCATCACCAGCTGCTATAAAACATAACAGATGTGCACATTTTTCAAGGTGTCTAACCATGGAAGTTATGAAATTGTTTTTTGTAGGATATGTACCTGTTGGCCAATCTTTGATGCCATTCTTCTTAGGTTGCCTTGAACAGGGAAGTAAAACAATGGTTTCCAACTGTATGTCTTTTGCACAGGGGTCATCTGTAGCATTCTTTATGCGAAGCAAATTTGTTTTTCTCCCCATTAGAGACCATATTAGCATGGCCTCTGATTTGTGATTTAGCTTGTTACATATTCCACAGAAATTATTATGCTTCGGTAGAGCAATTACTGGGTAAATGCAGATTTGAGGCAGCCAGCCAAGCATGATGCCAAAGGAGCATTGCAGAACAGGGTTGACACATGCATAGTATTTCAAAATCTGAATAATCACATCTTCCCAATATGTAACTAAGATGTACTATCTAAGTGCATCTGTTACTTCCTCAGTAAGTTTAAACTGAAGTTTACAAGGATGCTTCTGCAAATATGCCTTTGTTTTGGCATGCCAGAGATACAGATAATCATTAGGATGACTGGATAATCTGAATCTGAATTCTTGATATGAAAATTAATAATAATATTTATTTATACCCCGCCCATCCGGCTGGGTTTCTCCAGACACTACACTAGCACAGAGGCTACACCAGTCTTCCTGAGCTCTCCCCCACCCAATTTTTTAGAGTACAGTTCCCATCAGTAACACCCAACGTTGACTGTGGGGCTGATGGGAGCTGTGGTCTAAAAACATCTGGAGGGCACAAGCCCATGGAAAGGAAAAATGGGAAAGAAGAACCAGATTTTTAAAAATGGTGTTTTAGTAGCTGGAGGAGGAGAGGACAGAGGGTGAAGAAAGAGCTGTAAATACTTTGGACCCATGGGAAGCTCAACAAACCTGTTTTGTGTGTGTGTGTGAGTGTTTGTCTTTGTGTGTGTAACTTTGTATTAATGTAACATTTTTATATCTAACAGTGTATTTTTGGAATATTTGTTTCAAGTTGTTGTTGCTTAGAGATATTTTTAATATATCAAGTGGTACAGAAATTAAATAATCAAATCAAATAAAAATGTTTTAACATAAATTGAGTTATTGTTGGATTTGTCATGTTATATTTAGATATGATTTAGTATAGTATATTCTGTATTTTAATGTTTGATGTTATATGCTGTAAGACTCCCAGAGTGGCTGGGGAAACCTAGCCAGATGGGCAGGATATCAATTAAAATGTTGTTGTTGTTGTTATGATGTAGGGCTCTCCATTTTTTGTTTTATTCTGAGCCATTTGAAGCAGGTTTATATGGAAAAGGAGCATACAAATTTAAATAATAAATAATATTTTCTGTAGTAGGGCACTGCAGAATAGAATATTTCTGTACTGTCAAATCATAGAATGTCAGGGCCATGTACAATTTTAACATCCCTACAACCATAAGGTTTTGGGTACCTGAAGTGATTATCTTGTCAAAACTCTGGGCTACATCCGGTGGATATTATATCTCAGATTGAGTTTTACATACCATGTATGTATTGTTCAATTTCTTTGGTGGATGAATTTACGTCTGACATTTTCCATGTGTGCAGTTCCCTTTTACCACAAATGTAGAGATTATATAGTTACTTTACACTCTGACACCATGCAGAGTTAAGAGAGACTCCATGGTGATGTTCCAGCTTCCCATACTCCCTGGACAATGCCACCTCATGGCTCTTGTTTGTCCATATATACAGGTAATACCACAAATAATGGAGAGAGAGAGAGGTCGTTTTAAAGAGACCATTTTACCTTGGGAAGCTTTTTGAAGATGTGTCCAATTTAAATGTAACCCCAAATGCTTTGGATTGGCATCTATTCCACTTCAGAAATGCCTATTTCCCACCTATGGACAAGTGTAGGTGCAGCTAGTGATGTGGGTGTTCTGGAAAACTTTGAATTAGAAAATGTTCAGCTTGCATTGGAAAATGTTCGCATGCCCTGGGGAGTGGTCATATTTAGCTTGTATTTAGTGAACAAAGCCTTTAAAAAGTACCCCTCTTCATATTTTAACCCAGTACACCGCAAACATTTGATCTGAAATATTTGGGAGGGAAAATGTAAGCACATTTAATGTGCTTTAAGTCTTACAGTGCATTTCCTTTCCATTGTTTAAATTTTAAGAATAAAAGCAAAGGCACTGGGTACTACTGACACACTAATAAATTTTAGCCTTCTGAAGAACTGTGCATGATATGTTGACTGGCATACTTGCTAGGGATAATCATCTGAAAAACATTACTGAAAACCATTAATTAAAATTTTGAAACTCCCCAGCTTGCCTATTATTGTAGTTCCAGTTGGCATTCATTCATTGTTCCTAATAAACTGGTAAAATGAAAGAAAATCCACACACACACACACACACACACACACACACGAAAGTGTTCTGTCTTGAAAACAATTCTGCAGAAAAGTTTCCATCCCACATCAATGGGTGCATCCAAATGGAGTTGTTTTGATACTTTGGGGCAGACTTGTATTCAGATGTGTGTGGATAGCAATAGCCTAACTTGTGTTTACCCTGTTATATGGCAAATTCTATTTTAAGCTAAGTCAGTATTTCATCTAAGCCAACAATGTGTTTGTGGCGGTGGTCTTAAACCCATCACTTTATGTGTTTTCCATTGCCCATGAACAACAACTTTTTTTTCCTTTTTTAAAGCCTATCCATTTTGCTCTGGGCATTTCAGCAGCTCTGTCCTAAATCCACATAAGCCTTCAACTACAGTACCTAAAATATGGCCTTAAGGGAATAGATGGTGAGGATTGGTTGCTCCCTGGCTTGGCTAAGAAAGATATGCATGACGTTCTTCATGCATTTCCCCCCCAGATACAAGAAAAAGAAAAAGAGAGAGAGAGAGAGAGAGAGAGAAACACTGTCATATTAACAATAAAAACAGTACACCAATCCTGTCCTAAATATACATACATGCGGCTTCCGTATTTTCCTTAACCAAAGATTCACTTATCTGCACATAAAGAATTATGCATAGACTTTGCAGATTCTTTTTTTTAAAGTCAGTCTGATAAGAGGGGACAAACTTACTTTCTCTTTCCAAAGATAAATTTTCCAGAGTCCTTGCAGGTTCACCGAGTCGGGAACTTGAAATAACTGTTTCCGTTTTGCCACAGTCCAATTTTTTTTTCACCTCATCAATTTAAGTGCTGGAACATTTGTTTTCATGCTGCAATGGCGGCACTATTTTTGGACTCCTTCAAAACTTTTGGCCGAAAATTAGAGATGATGGGAGTTGTGATCCAACATAATCTGGAGGATAATAGGTTTTCCATTCCTGTTTCAGATGATTTAAAATACATGTTATTCATCACATTAAGTTTGTACAGTACAACCTCCAGTGGTGTGATCTGTCATCTCTAGGCAATAGATTGGGGAAGTCTTGGAAAAAATTACTAAAAACACCACGTATTCTCTACCCCACCATACTGATTTATTTTTAGATGTGCAGAGATGGGCATGCAGTGTAAGAGAGTGAATAAAAAGCTAGAATGGTTTGCTACTTGGACTGAAAAGAACCACAATATGGGGAAGAGCATCAAACCAATCAATCTCTGAGGAGACTTTGCTAACTATGCATAGGTATACATTTTGGGATCGCCATGGGGTTTGAGGGGAAGATCGTACTGTAGATGGAGCAACAGAGCTCCCGCACTGGACACTTATAAATAATGGGGGAAGTTTACTGAGAGCAGAGAGGTTTATAATAGGATGATCTTGAATTTCTACTTTATTACCAGCTAGTGAATCTACCATTAGCTGAGGTTTACATCCTGTCACTAGGATGTTTTTAAAAATATACTTTATCAATATTTCTATAGCCACTAATGGCTTCTTTGAGTAATTTGTCCTGTTGCCTTCACATCTAACATTAAAGCACTTAAAAACAAGCAAACACTTTCCAGCCATAAACTCTAGCAATTAATGTCTACCAATTAATGTATATATTTTTAAAAGGCAAGTCTCATTGTTTCCCGCTTCAGCATCTCTCCCTCAGAATGTTGTTCATTTGCTCAGTATTGCAGCTATTCATATGGTCAAGGCTGAAATCCTGTTTGTCATTGTTTTGACCATAGGTAATGTACCTTGAGCATGGTTGATATGGGTGTGTCTGAGGTTATCTGCTCAATTAGCAGCCTCCCCCTCTTCCTGTTTTTGTTCTTCAGGCAGCATGAGAGAGAGAGACTAAAACTTATATAGCAGAAGTGAGGTACTTGTGGCCCTCAGATGTTGTTGGATTCCAGCTCCCATCAGCTCAAGCCAGCATGGCCAATGACCCAGGGATGATTGGAACTGCCATTCACAGTGGCGTAGTGTGGGGAGTGCAGGGGGGCCCGGCCGCACCGGGCGCAACATCTGGGGGGGCGCGCGCTCGCACTCGCAGCTCTCTGCCCCTACCTGGCTCACTCACTCTCTCTCACTGCAGTGCTGGCTGTGCGAATCCGATCCGAGCCGCTGGGTCGCCGCCCACTGTGGAGGGGGTGGGTGCCAGGCGTGCGGTGCGGAGAGAGAGCGAAGGACTATCTGGGGGAGGGACAGTGCAGCGGCCGCCCAGCGCAGCGCTGAGCGCGGGAGAGAATCACACCAGACCAGCCCAGGCAGCAGCAAGAAGAAGCTGGCAGCGGCGGCAGGTTAGGGGTTAGGGGGCGCAAATTACTTGCCTTGCCCCGGGTGCTGACAACCCACGCTACGCCGCTGGTCATTCAACAATAGACTGGAAGAGCACAAGTTCCCTATCCCTGCTATAATACATACAAGCGCCACCGTGAGCAATATGGAGTCTTGCAGAGGGCATTGGATCATCCCCATCTAGACAGATGTATGGGCTTCCTACATCGGTGTCTGTTAAGGAAATACCTATTGTTCACCTATGTACTATGAGATTATACAAAAACCTAGAGAGAGGGAGGTTTTGTATAACATGAATGCATAACTGTAATCCATGTCACACTGTTAGGCTAATTTGAATGTAGTGTTCAAGGTGTTTCCCCTGTTCTTTCTGAGCGCAAAGTCCTCTCGTCACCCCTAACAGTCTGTGCACTGTTCAGTCAGCTGTGCTCCAGTGCCTCCTTGATTAAAATGACAGTTTAGCTAATGGAGTACAATGACTTCCCCTTGAATTTGTTCACTGCTGATAACCTTGGCCTTTGCAGGGCAGCGGAAACCAATGGGCCGAAGTTGACTCATTATGTTCTTTTTCCTATAAAATTTGCAAATACTTTCTGCCTGTGCTGTTTATTTTGCAGCTCAACAAACCAATATGTTAAAGCATTCATGACCTATAACATCACTTACATTCCTGTAGTGCCAGCTGAATGTTAGACAGGATATATACTCTCTTAAGCATTTATTTGCCTGTGGGACATGGAGTTAAGAGTGGATGGATCCATCTCTTATAAATATATTTTGATCTAAAATATTATTTCGATGTACTTTGGCATATTTTTTGAGCTGAGAGTTGTGTAAGAAAATTTGGAGAGTACAACATACGGAGGAAATTACCTTCCAATCCGCACAGTAGTTGAGGGAGTTCTGATCAGGGCAGTGCACATCGGAATTATAGGAACCATATCTCTAAAATATCCCACATGACTCTGAGTTAAAGACATGAATTCATGTGTTCTACGTCTACAAGGACTATGCTATAGCTGGTTCCACCCCCCCACTTTCAGGGAGAAGCTCCATGGCACAGTAGTAGAACACTTGCTTTGTATGCAAATGGTCCTTTTTTTTCAATACTTGGCATCTTCAAGTAGGGTCAGGAATGTTTTCTGCCTGGAGAGTCGCAGTAAAGGTAAAAAAAGGTAAACCCCTGGATAGTTTAGTCCAGTCAAATTTGACTTTGGGGTGTGGCACTCATCTCCGCTTTCAGGCCAAGGGAGCCAGTGTTTGTCTGCAGACAGCTTTCCGGGTCATGTGGCCAGCATGATTAAACTGCTTCTGGAACAATGGGACACTGTGCCAGAGCCACGGAAGCGCCATTTACCTTTTCACTGCAGCGGTACCTATTTATCTACTCACGCTGGTGTGCTTTCAAACTGCTAGGTTGGCAGGAGCTGGGACAAAGCAACAGGAGCTCACCCCGTTGTGGGGATTCAAACTGTCAACCTTATGATTGGCAAGCCCAAGAAGCTCGGTGGTTTGGACTACAGCGCCACCTGCGTCCCTGGTAGAGTCACAGTAGACAGTTCTGAGCTTTGATGGACCAGTGATCTGATGGTATAAGGCAATTTCCTATGTTCTTATGAATGGGCTCAACTTCCCACCTGTGTCACTGCTGCCCATTCACTTGCTCGTTCCTGCTTGGCCCAATCTCTGCAACCACAGAGGAAGAGGGCAAGGCAAGTGGAGGATGTCATGCTTTGGGGAGGGTAAGGAGTTAGGAAGTGATAGCTAGGAGGCTCTGCAGGTCACCAATTGGCCCCCTGTGGAGGTGTGGGTCTCAGCAGGAGCCTGGTGCTGCCAACCCTCACTGTAGAAACCCACCAATTTTTCGCTCTACAATTTTAGTGTAATGAAAGAGGAAAATTCTTGCCAGTTGGGCACAAACAGTAAGATCTTTCCGGCATTTCAATCCTTGATCCTGTTTGTATTAAAAAGGACTTTGCGACAACTAAAGCTTCAGTCATGAAGTACTGATTTAAAAAGACAGGTCAGTTGACTGAATGCATTTAGGAAATGCTTTGGAAATGTCATTATGTGTTTTCAGCAGAGCTAAATCACAGGTCGGGTTTAAAGGATTACATTTGCTGGCAGTAGACAAACACAAGTGAGATGTAAAAATTTCCACAGTTAGAAATTTTATTATGGGAAGTTAGTGTTAGTTGGCAGCAGGAATAATTGTCGTTGCAATCCTGTGCCCAGTTCTGCCTGTTTAATTCCACTGAAGCAAGGAAGTTTCAGCAGATGTAACTGATGAAGGATTGTAACCTGAATTTGCATCATCTTACAATGGATTATTTCTTCTCTACTCAAACAATATTGCTGATACAAAATAAGTTTTAAAATGTTTATTGCTCTTGCGTGACTTGGTTACCCAAGTTGTTGAGATGCACATGACTCCTTGTCTGGCAAAGCGCAAGGGAAACTAATTCTCATGTAGACATGCCCACTTCTGCTGGGTTGTCACCAGCATGAAAGCTGGCATTCTCACTATGGGACAAGCAAGAGCAACTCTCGTTTCCCAGTACATTCCTCTTCTACTCTTTGTGCGCACAGGCACTTTTTAAAAAGTAAAGCAAATGCTCCAGCCTGTTGCGTCAAAAACCAGTGTGGGTGCAGTAGTGAAGATTGCTACAAAAAGCAGCATCAACAGGAATTCCTATATAAAAAAATTCCTTCCAGTAGCACCTTAGAGACCAACTAAATTTGTTATTGGTATGAGCTTTTGTGTGCATGCACACTTCTTCTCATACCAATAACAAACTTAGTTGGTCTCTAAGGTGCTACTGGAAGGAAGGAATTTTTTTATTTTGTTTTGACTACGGCAGACCAACACAGCTACCTACCTGTAACAGGAATTCCTATGTGAGTCTGAAAGTTTCCTTTTCAGACAATAAGACGAGTTAGTCAAGTATTTTCATATTGTTAGGTTCTCAAATTTTTGAAGGTTCTGGAAGCTTACAGGGCTGTTTCATTTGTGTGTGTATGTTTCAGTCCTTTTAATTTACAAATGTTCACTTCTCCAAACCTAGGGTTGCCCACCCCATATGTATCAGCAACCTTCTTCTTGAATGCTTTTGTTTTGTTTCCAAACTCAAACCACCTGACTTTGCTATTAGAGGAAACATGATAATGGCTCTGCTTGTTGACAAGACAAATAATAGACTGCAGCTCAGTTGTTGTTTTAAAGAATAAGTTTCCTGTATAGAAAATGATCATGGTGAAGCCTGAGCATATGTAAATGTTAACCTCCCCAAACTGTATTTAGAATAGCAAAGCAGAAGTCACCTGAACACAAGAACCGGCAGGATTACCGTTCAGAATTCTTTTTTCCTCTGGGGGAAATATAAGTGTTGTCGACTTGGAGTGTGTCGTTTTTGGCTGCTCCATCACTGTGAGGAGAAAAGTATTGTCGACAACATTGAACGTTGCTGGTTTATAAACACAGGGCTCTATGAAATACAGTGGTACCTCGGGTTAAGAACTTAATTCGTTCCGGAGGTCCGTTCTTAACCTGAAACTGTTCTTAACCTGAGACACCACTTTAGCTAATGGGGCCTCCTGCTGCCGCTGAGCCGCGCGATTTCTGTTATCATCCTGAAGCAAAGGTTCTTAACCCGAGGTACTATTTTTGGGTTAGCAGAGTCTGTAACCTGAAGTGTCTTTAACCTGAAGCATCTGTAACCCGAGGTATCACTTTAATTCTGTTGGGGCCTTTTCCTGTGCTGATATTCTTTGTTGTTCTTGTCTCAGCTAAACTGTGTATAACAAATGGATAGTTATCCTGCTCAATACATAATGACAAGGTGTGATGGATTTTTTAAAAAAATAATGGGATCCCACCCCCCTCTTGGATGTAGAGGCCAACCATGATAATGGATTTTGAAAGACATGTGGTTTGTCCTCAGCAACACCTTGCAAGTGTAAATCAGCATACAAAATGAAATGGAGCAACCAGTCATTTCACTTGTTCTAGTACAGTACAGGGTCCCTAGTGTGGTCACCTGGTGCAACTACAACAAAATGGAGTGGTTTGGAAAGTTAATGGACTTCACTCATGACTCTGGCCTGAGGAGTTTGTACTTAGGGTGTTGGTCTGGGACCTGGGAAACCAGGGTTCAATGCCTGCTCAGCCTTGAAACTCACTGCGTTACCTTGGCACAGTCTCTCAGTCTAACCTCCCTCACAAAGTTGTTGTGAGGATAAAATGTACCTACCACTTTGAACTCCTTGGAGGAAAGGTGGGATATAAATGTAATAAACAAATACATGCCAGACTTTTGCTCGCCTGGATTTGTGTTCTGCTGTTTGGATTCTCCTTCATTGGAGATTGGGAGCCACCAGCCCAGGATATTGTATTAGTGAATTTACTACATTCATAGGCGGTTGATGACCTTTGAGGTCCTTGCCAACTCTGTGATTCAACTTCTATCTTTATCCTTGCTCAGGGAAATCAATTTGACTCCTACCCTTACAATGTTTTGATAACTCCTGGAAGCTTTTTTAAATTTTGGGCAAGTTGTTTGGTTGGCTTTCCTCTCCTCTCCCTGGAACTTTTTGCCTGCTGCATTGTGTGTTATTTATTATTTTATTTTGGTTTGATCTTACTGTTTTAGTTGTATGTCATCCGCTTTTGCGCAGTTTACTTGTGAGCTGAGAAAAATGGGACATAAATATTTTAGAAAAATAAATAAGGATCCAAATATAGCCTGGCTTTATACTGATACTTCTCAATGTCATTTTCTTACCAGGAGAGAGTGAGAGGAGATAATGTGTGAAGAAAAAAAGCAGCCAGCTTGCTAAATGTGAACTGGCCCCTGTGGTTAGAAATACCCATCACTTCTGCTAGAGGTTGAAAAATCAGCATGCAAAGATGAAACAAAGTAGGGATAGAGGAACATTTTGTTTAAACTGCATTTTTAAATTAATTTACCTAATTTGCACCTCTTGGATGAAGGCAGTGTACACACCAGGGGTCAGCAACCTTTTTCAGCTGTGGGCCGGTCTACCGTCCCTCAGACCATGTGGTGGGCTGGACTATATTTGGGGAGGGGGGAAATGAATGAATTCCTATGCCCCACAAATAACCCAGAGATGCATTTTAAATAAAAGCACACATTCTACTCATGTAAAAACACCAGGCAGGCCCCACAAATAACCTAGAGATGCATTTTAAATAAAAGGACACATTCTACTCATGTAAAATCACGCTGATTCCTGGACCATCCATGGGCCGGATTGAGAAGGCGATTGGGCTGCATCCGGCCCACGGGCCTTAGGTTGCCTACCCCTGGTACACACCATACACTGAAAACACATTCACCCGCCTCCAAAAAAGAATCATGGGAACTCTAGTTTCCCCACAGAGCTTAACAAATTACAGTTCCCAGGAATCTTTGGGGGAAGTCATGTGCTTTAAATGCATGGTGTGTGTGCACTGATCAACATACAGTTATCCTTTGGATTTCACAGTTCTGCCAATACAGCTATCAATATAGAAAACATAAAAAATGTGTACTTTTGGATAAACTGCACTTTGCTGTGCATGCACTGTTATATATTCAAATATACGTAACAGACTTATGAATGAATACATACTAAATTTACATGAACTGGAAATAGTCTGATCTGTGTATCTCTAAAAGGAACAATTGCCTGGTTTAAAATCCATTAATGAATTTTATCATCCCCCCTTTTAAAAATCTGTAGCTTTAGCCATGTTTCTGTCAAAAGAAAGTGTCAAAATGTTACCCAGAGGTCTGCCTTCAGTTGATTTTTCATCTGATGAAACGCTACCCCACAAGACAAAATATTTTGGAGATAGTAGAAGCAGGCGGATTCCTAATTCAAATAAACAGTAGCTTTGTGTTATTACCTCATTGCCTCATTCACCAGAGAGTCATGAAACCTCAATATTTATAAAGACATCATACTTGAGTATTTGTTTTTCCAACCCGGTAAAATGTGAGCATGATGCCTAAGGACAAGAGCATGAATTCATCACTGTGATGAATCATTCCATTAACTTGTACATTACAATTGTGTATTTTTTAAAGCAGATTTTAGTTAGGGCTTCACCTTCTTTGTATAAATCTGTGTGACACAAGCTGGTTTTGATGACTATAAAAGGAAAACATTCTTCAAGATAGTAATGCCGTAAGTGAGCATTTGAATCGAACTAGCAGGCAATAGCTGCTGAGTCCCAAGGAAGGTGAAATCTTTATGAATGGCTGGCATGATACAAATGAGGCAAGTCTCTGAAGCTGTTTAATTACTGAGCATCTAGTTAATTCTTATATTGTGTCCCTCAGGCTAGGTTTCCTACAATACCATCTGGGATGATAAATTACATAGTTTCAGCCGTTAACATATAGAGCAGAGAATGCCTTGTGTCATCCTCTGGTGAGAAAATCTGTGAGTTTGTTCTTTCTCCTCCAGCTCAATATGCAAGCACTTTAAAAAGATCCCCAGAGTTTTATTCAAACAAGAATGACTCCCCTTGCCTTGGATCTAGATTTAAGGGAGGATTTTTGTCTACATAAAGACTGCAAGGCTAATCAAAATGATTTTACCTTTTGAAGGCATATTCTAGTATCTCTCCCTTCTTGTTCTTTCTTTGCTTCTTTGCCGCCATCTTCTTCTTACTCTTTTTGTTGTTAATTTGTATTACAATATATACCACTTTTCTGTCAATGTCATTGATCCTTTTGGTTATTACAACGGCAAAGACCTGCGTTCCTTTCAGTTTCGTAATGTGTATGAAAGCTCAAAGGGAAGTTTTCATTTAGCATAGATACTTTGCTTCCCTGCATTCCCCACTTCACAACTAGAAAATGGGACACAGACATTCTCAAAGTGGCTAGCAAGATGAGAATAGCAATATAAGAACAGGAATACTTGTCAAAACATCATTGCAAAAAACAGACTAATGCGTTCTTCCCCAACTCCCATTTCCTGGCCATTTCTCATGCTGTTTGTGGCTGATGTGAAGTGGAATACAGCACCATCTAGATGGCTACCCCTGATTTAATAAGCAGGAAGCTTAGGTCATTTCCATATGACACTCCATAGCCTGCCTGTTCAAAAAGCTGGATTACAAGTGAGCATTACTGGCCCAGCTGCCCATATCTGATAAAGTTCTGGAGAATCAAGGTTTCATTCCATGGCTTAGGAATAGAAGCTATCTTTCATATGACCAAAGACTGCCATTGAAATTGATATCTGTGGATGAAGTTCTTACCTATAACTTTCAGCAACAATTTTTCTTAGATGTGAAGGTTTCATCCCTTCATCCTGCATTACATCACTATCCAGTAATGTATGACAAAAGGATCAGTCATTTCCCACGTTTTAGTGGTGAGATGGAGAAGTTGACACAGGGGTGCCATTTTCCAACAGAACCCCATGTGTGCACAAAATACTTTGCTTATTAAATATTTGTGTGAAATCAGTGGTTAAAATCAGTGCAGTTTTGAACAGTTTAGTCTGTCATCATGATTCAAAATAGCATCCATTGTATCCCAACAGAGATAAGAGTGTGCTCCTTGATATAGGGAACCATCAACAAAATTTGGTTATGATGTCTTTAAAGGTAAAGGGACCCCTGACTGTTAAGTCCACTCGCGGATGACTCTGGGGTTGCGGTGCTCATCTTGCTTTACTGGCCAAGGGAGCCGGTGTTTGTCCGCAGACAGCTTCCGGGTCATGTGGCCAGCATGACTAAGCCGCTTTTGGCAAACCAGAGCAGTTGACCAAAATGCTGTTCACCTTCTCGCCGGAGTGGTACCTATTTATCTACTTGCACTTTGACGTGCTTTCGAACTGCTAGGTTGGCAGGAGCTGGGACCGAACAACAGGAGCTCACCCTGTCGTGGGGATTCGAACCGCCGACCTTCTGATCAGCAAGCCCTAGGCTCTGTGGTTTAGACCGGAGCGCCACCCGTGTCTTTCGAGGTGTCCAAATGCATTAAAACAACTTCCCAAAATATATAGTAGGACAATATATATAATATATAAGCAATAATATATTAGCATTTGGCTAGCCAATTGGAATGGACTACAAAAGTGTGTGTCTTTCTGTGTTCTTATGTTATACTACCACATGGAAATCCTTTTTCTTGGTAGTGGCTACACCCAACAGGATCTCTTAAGGGGTGTCACCTGTGGCTGATGCTGTTAACAGGTTTAATTCCTGGTAATTGTTTAGAAACGAGAGAGAATGCATGTTATGCCTTAAAACCTAGAATGGATATGTAAGTTCTATAACTTACTGTTGGACGCATAAGAAACAACAAGAACTGGATATTGCAATGTCTGAAGGTGCACAGCATTGCACACCTTTTTGTATTCCCCCAACTACATGTGGTTGAGTCTGAACTTTATTCAGAATGAGATACCTCTGCCAATACTGATACTTGCTTTCATGTGATACAACGGGCAAGGACAGTTCCATTTTTCAGCACTATAAAAGTGATTTTACTTCAATGATGCAAAGTTAAAATATGGCAGAATTTGCTGCTTTCTTGAACAGCAGGGGTTGAATTCTGAGTCAGATAGATTATAATTAGCTGTTTTTGTTCAGCTCAGCATGTTGATGCTCCTGGCTGTCTGTCTTGGGAGAGAGCAAGTGGCTTCAGACATTATCAAAGGTGGAAATTAATTATGTGTTCTTCCACTTTTGCTGGCTGTACTAATGTCCAGAGCTGCTGAAAATGAGGTAGTCTTTATGGCAGGAAAGAAATGGATATGGCCAAACCAAAGTATCTTTCTGCTTTATTTCAGACTGGGAAACCAATGTACAAGCAAGAAATCTAATGAAAGGCTATGTGAATCAGTTAGTCTTTCTGCAATCCTGTGTCTTTCTGCAAGTGTGTGTGCTGAGGCTGTTTTGTTGGTCAGGATAGCAAATGTTTAGGCATAAAAACTGATAGTACAAATTAAATAAGTTTTGGGAAGCTGATGCTTGGGGTGGAAATACTGGAGGAAAATGAGCATATTGATCCGCCCACCTACTACCATATTTTTCCATGTATAAGACTAGGTTCCCCCCCAAAAAAATTAATGTCCAAAATTTGGGGGTGTCTTATACATGGATAGATCTTCCCCCATTTTCTTAAATCGGAGTCCCAAAAAATAGGGGGCGTCTTATACATGGGGGAGTCTTATAGATGGAAAAATATGGTACTTGGTAATACCAAGTTATGCCCAAATAAGCTTTTACCATAGTTTTTCTGCATCACAACAATGCTGAGCCTGATTCCATTGGTAGCCTTATTTGGTGTTAAGTTGAATTTTAGTGCATATGTTGTTTATTCAGGATTTCATCAATTATATATGCATTGAGTTGGAAGCCATGGTGGATCTGCTTCAGGTTTGAGTTAGCGATACATGCAAATAAATGCAAAAGTTAACTATATGCCACCAGCTGAGAGAGGTTGTTTTATGTCACAAACCACTGTGTGCTAGCAACCCATGAATGAAAAAATATCTTGTCGGTAGAAAAGTTACAAAAAGAGAGATCTCTGTCTTACATAAAATTTGTAAGTTAATCACGAGTCACTTATCTTAAAAGTAAAACCTCTCCCTGGCAAGATAATGATCCCCATAGTTTATAAGCATGTAAGACAAATAGCTTGTTTACCAAAGGAACACATTCAGACAGCATTTAGTAATTCAACTTTTAATTAGGTAAATTTTTATTAGATTGCTTAAGCTCTGTAGGATTCCATTTCAGCACTCTGTTTACCAATAGACGTCTTACTCTCTTTGGTTTAGGTGGTGGTTAGGCACATAATTTTAAAAGTGGAATTAGTTTTTTGAAGTTTGAGAATCCTGGTTCTAAAGCAATATCAAAGGGAAAGAATGGTTCCCTAAGGAACTGGCCATGATTTATTTAGTTTTTAGTTTTGTGCTACAATCTGTGTGTCTTGATTGGTTTACTTGACCCTGAACAGATGGAGTTGCTTTATTTTGAGTCATATCGCTGGCCCATCTTGCTTGGTATTGTCTAGTCCAAACTGGTAGCAGCTCCAAACTTGAGGTCCTTTAGCAGGATGTACTGGGGATTCAGCCTGGGACCTTTATATATGCAAAGCATGTGCTCTCTCTTACTGAACTTTGCTCCCTCTCATCAGTGTTGTTTTGCATTTGTGGCAGTGAAGCTTTGGGCAGCTGCTGCAATGTCATGGAATGTTCACAAAAATTCCAAGTGCTCAGGGAACAAAACAGTTGGAATGTTTCCAGTTCTGTTTATTAACAGAGGGGAAAGCTTCGTTTTAGCTAGTATTAAAATGCCATACAGATCCTAGGGACAGCAGGTTTTTAGAGCAGCC